GGGTTACCTCTTTCTCATGACATTTCTTCAAGGACATGTGAAAACGTGGTCGAGGCCTGAAACTCTGCAGATGCCCTGCCGCCTGGCCGCCCTGCTACCTAGCCGCCCCGCCGCCCTACCGCCCCGCCGCTGGCTGCCCTGCCGCCGGCCGCCTGCCACCACGACCTTAGCCTTGTCAGAATCGTAAAGGAGCTTTCCCTATAAACAATGAGAAGTCCAAGATGCTCCCCAATCTTGAAGCAAACCTGCAAACACAAAAAAAAGAAAAGAAGATGGCGGGCTCCACCTTGCTGTCCAGAGGAAGAAGAGCACAGGGGCAACCGCCAGAAAACGCGGAACCCTAGGGTGTAGAGACTCCAGCCTAGCCACCCAGCCGCCTGGCCGCCTGGCCGCCTAGCTGCCCGGCCGCCCAGCCATCCGGCGGCCCGGCTGCCTGGTCATCCGGTCGCCCAGTCGACGGCTTCCAAGAAGGGGACGATGCCATCAAACCCGGACGGAATCAACCTGAGACGACTGATACCTACCTCAGATGCTCAATACCGGCCTAGAATCCATGGGGGGGGGGCTGCCTGGAGGTGGGTCGCCCAGGGATGTGCTGAGTTCATCTGCCAGCCTGTAATTGTGCCCGGTCGCACCTTGCTGAATTCATCTGCCAGACTGGTTGAGCGTCGGGTCATACCCTACTGCTAGCACTTATCCATCCTCAATACCGATCGGGAATCCATCCTCGATGAAGGTGTCAAGTCTGTCGCTAGCCAATGGTTTCTGCCGCCAACAGTACTTGATGGTCAATTGGGCTCGTCTGCCGCCAAGAGTGTCTGGCATCGAGCTGGGAGATGGATGCCAGCCAAGGAGTCCAAATCGGCCTGTAATTTCCGACTAAGGGCCCCTTCGACCTGGGCATTCCCATTGCCTCGCACCTGCGTGGGGGCGACAGCTTGGGGGAGCGCCGTCGAGTTCCACCACCTGGCCGACGACGGAACACATGGCCGCCGACCTGCGAAGGAAATCCGTCCAAATCCAGAGTCGGTTGGTCAACCCTGCTGAGTGCGGCACTGAGGCTACGCGAGGAAGACGCACGCAGTTTCAAGGAGAGAGAGAAAAAAGAAAAGGAAAGGAAAGAAAACAATGAAAAGAAAAGGAAAGAAAAGAAAAGAAAAGGAAAGGAAAAAAGATTTTTTTGGAAGCCGATTTATATTCTGAAGTCCGGATTAAAGCCGATTGCTGGAATACTAGGATGATGAAGGAATTAATTTGGAAATCTCCATAAAATTGTGGGATTGACAAAATCCACAATTATGGCTCCTTTGTACGTGAATATTTTCTAAAATTGGCAGCTAATTTGAACTACTCCCTCTTAGCCGAGTCTACTACTCGACTAAGGGAGTGGGGGACTCGTGATGGGGTTATGGGATTAGGCCCAGAGCTTAATCGACCCAAGCCCCGAACGTGGACCAGTAGGCCCAAGCCTGACGATCCAGAGCTCGAGCCGGCCCAACCATCAAGGAGCGGAAGTCTAAGACGTACGGCCTACCTTCCAGACCGGCCAGCAGCCCGCCTCCTGCCCAGCTGGGAGCCTGCGTTGCAGCCCGGCCAGCAGCCTGTCCTCCGGCCCAGCGGGAAGCCTGCCTACCGGCCCAACCGGAAACCTGCCTTTCAGCCTAGCGAGGAGCATGTCTTCCAGCCCAGCGGGAAGCCTGCCTTCCAGCCCAACAGATAGCCTGCCTTCCAGCCCGGCCAGCGGCCTGTCCTCTAGCCCAGCGGGGAGCCTGCCTACCGGCCCAACCGGAAGCCTGCCACCCGAGGAGCTCAAGCGTTCAGCCTGCTAGCTAGGCCGACCTGCCAGCTAGCCAGGAAGAGTAACAACCAACAATCAATGCGCGACTTAATTATGTATTTAATTCCGTATTAATATTGTAATTAATTTAGTCATTATTATGTATTTATGTTCGACAGTTACCATTTGTAATCGCCTATAAAAGGCAATTCGAATTTCTAATACAAATATGCTATTTCTGGCAACTAAATCTCCTAGCTACTTTCCATTCTCGTTCTTTCTTTCCTAATTCTTGCTTGAGTGTCATACGTAGCTTTCCTAAAAGCCTACAAGCGTCCTATTTTGGACCAACAAGTTAAATCATCATGGTTTGACCATTTTTTATTTATTTTGGATGACATTTACTCTATTTTTAGTTGTTGGCATGTAAATTGCAATTCACAAATGTTAAGCACAAATATTAAAAGATTGTTTCGTATTTGAGCTCAAGTTCGAACCCGAACTTGTAACTTTTGAGTTGACGAACCAATAATTGTCGAGCTGAATCGAGCCATGTCAATATTTGCGAGTCGAGCTCAAGCCCGAACTTTTTAAGCTCATCTAAGCCGAGCTCAATCTCGGCTCAGTTGGCATGTAAATTGCAATTCACAAATGTAAAGCACAAATATTCAAAGATTGTTTCATACTTGAGCTCAAGTTTGAACCCAAACTTGTAACTTTTGAGTTGACGAACTAAAATTGTTGAGCTGAATCAAGCCATGTCAATATTTGCGAGTCGAGCTCAAACCCAGATTTTTTAAGCTCATCTGAGCCGAGCTCAAACTCGAGTCAGTACAATATATTTCAAGCTCGAGCTTGAGCCTACGTAAACTCGGGCTCAACTCATTTGCACCCCTAATTGTGCAGATACTCTGAACTTGTCCTGTGACATCGATGAGACTAAGAGAGTGAGGCGGCTAATTCCATATATGAACTGCACCTCCTAGAGTATTTTACGTCGGAGAGGGGGGCGAAGGTCACCCGACGATGGAGTTCTGGGGCTGGTCAGAAATTAGATCTCATTGCAAGAGGAAAGGGATGAGGGTGAAATCGATGATGGTCGTTGATGGTATGACTTCTTGAGCTATTTTTGAAATTAAACATACATAAGTGAAAAGTTAAGGGCATACGGAGTATTTACTAACAGAGATATTTTCAAGTTTTTCAGAAAACTGAAAAATAGGAAAAAGGAAAAAAGAAAAAAAAAGAAAACGTGTTTACAAAAAAATGCTGGAAAACTGAAGAAATGAAAACGGAAAATTGTGTTTACCAAATCGTTTTCCAAAACAAAAAATGAGATATGTCTTTGTTTTTCTGAATGAATTGGAGAAGTGACTTTTACCAGTTTCCCAAATTTAGAAATCACGGATGCTCTAGTGCCTAGTGTTGGATTTGGTCCTGCTTCGGTGTCAGGTCAAGTCCGGCCCGGTCAACGATCCGATGGTCCCTATCAAATCCGATCATTGACCTAACGGTCATGTCCGGTCATTGACTCGGCAGTCATTGTCCAGTCCGGTCGATGGCCAAGCAATCACGGTCCAGTCTGGTCGACAACTTGACAGTCTCGGTCCGGTCGACGACCCAGCGGTCCCTGTCCAGTCCAGTCCACGACCCGGCGGTCCCTGCTCGGTCCAGTCAACAACGCTGCAGCCCCTATCTAGTCCGGTCCACAACTTGGCGGCCCCTGTCTAGTCCGGCCCATGACCCGACAGTCCCTGTCTGGTCCTATCCATGACCAGGCGGTACTTGTTCGATCTGATCGACAACTGGGCAGTCCCTGTCCAATCCGGTGTAGTCAATGACTTGGCGGTCCTTGTACGGTCCAATCAATGACTCGGCGGTCCCCGCCCTATCCTATCAACCACCCGCAGGTCCGCGTCCCGTCTGAACAATGAGCCGACGGTCCCCATCCTGTCTGGAGAATAACCCGGTGGTCTGTGTTCGGTCAGATAAAAAACCGGGCGGCCCCCGGCAAGTCCTGCAAACGACCCTGCGGTCCCTGTTCAGGCTGGTCAAGGACCCGACGGTTCAGTCTCGGATTTTCGAAATCATTTTTTTAAAGTGAAGAGTTTTAAAAGAGCCGCTGACTTGTCAACCAATAGGGAAATGAGAAAACAATTCATCAAACTAACTGTTGAGATCGTCTGGGATCAGCTGTTTTGGTCCGTGTCTAGTCCACGACCCGACGGCCTCTATCTGGTTCGGTTCATGACCCGACGGCCCCTATCTGATCCAATCGACGGCCGAGTCGTCCTAGTCCTATCTGGTCTCGTCAACGACTCAGTTGTCACCGTCCGGTCCGAGAAATTACCTGGTGGTTCTTGTCCCATACGATCAACGATCCGGCGGTGTCCATCTTGACTAGAAAATGACGTGACGGTCTGTGCTTGATCCGATCGACAACTGGGCGGTCCCATGCCAGTCGCGTAAAAGACCTGGCGGTCCCTGTCTGGGCCTGTCAATGACCTAGCGATTCCGTCTCAATTTTTCGAAATCATTTTTTAAAGTGAAGAGTTTTAAAAGAGTCGTTGAGTTGTTAACCAATAGGGAAATGAGAAAAGAATTCATCAAACTAACTGTTGAGATCGATCGGAATCGGCCGTTTTGATCTTGATTTTCCTAAACGTGGGACTCAGTACCCTACTTGGGTTGTACTAGGTTTGGTTCCGGACTCGGACCGTACTTTCGATCTTTGATTGGTCACATAATCGGGTGAAAAAATTATGTGAACGTGTTTTAACATTTGAAAATGGAAAACTAAAAAATGAAAACAAAAAATTGGAGATAGAAAGAATGGAAAATGAAAACAAAAAATTGGAGAACGAAAAACAGGAATAGAAAACTGGAAAATATCTATGTTAATAAACATACTACTACCTCCGTTCCTATTAAAACTTCCAAATAGGTTTGGCACACAGTTTAAGATAGTGAGTATTGTGTGGTGGAGAGTTGTCCAGAGGAGAGAGAAATGTGTATGAAATGTTGTGAACCACAAATTCTTTATTAAAAAAGGAAAGTGAAAGTTTTAATTGGAACAGATGAAAAAAGAAAGTTAAAAATTTATTTAGGAACGAAGGGAGTATAAAAGAAATACGGTTGTCCGAAATCGGATATTTCCAAATAGAATTACCCTTAAAATTTCCCTAAAAAATTAGCAAGGCCTGTTTTTTTTTTTCGATCGAGCCTGTTAGGCCTGATGGGCCTACTTCTGATCACACAAAACAAAAACATAAAGTATAGGTACCGTGTAACTTCAGACCTGTTCATCTTTGCCGACACAGCAAACCTCTTTCTCTGCCGGTCTGCTTTTCCAAGAGTTTTGAATACGATGCTGTCGGAGGCTTTACCGATCCTTGAATCACCGCTGAAAAAGCCAAAACTTGATACAGATGAAATCAGCCCAAGCTCTCCGCTCAGCGATCTTTCGAGCGACGAAAGCGATGGTTTGGAACACATCGACGACAAAGACCTCATCGAGGAATATCTAAAGTATGAACGCCAGCTCGAAGAAAGCGAGGTGATAATTGATAAAATATACAAATGTATTGTTCTGTATGTGTGCTTGTTATATATAAACTGACAACGATAATGCTTGTTTAATCTCTAGTGCTTCGACATAGATTTTGTTCCGAGGGAGTTCCGTCGCATAATTGGAAGCCACGTTTTCCCCTGTGATCTAGATGACCCAGAAGAAATGGATCTTATCAAGGGATGTACTTATTTTGCTATTGCTGAATACAATCGTCTCATGGTACGCTTTTTGCGTTTCTTAATTATTGACTATTGGTGTAATTATGTTTACAATAACCTTCCTTACGAATATTTCATTTGTCTGCGGTGTAGAAATCCAAGTCTCAGCTTCAACTTGTGAAAATTGAGAAGGCTAATATGAGTGGTCGTTATAACTATGCTTGTTTTATAACTTTTGAGGCGGTGGATACCGTTTCTAAACAGTCTGCCACCTATCAAACTCGAATGTTGTGTAGTCATGACAAGGAACGCAAGCAGATATTTTTCATCAGGAGGAAGGATACAAGAAAAGGTACTTCTATTATATACATTTTCTTTTTATCAGTTTAAACTGTCTTATTCCAATTGAAATAATGGGGTTATTATTGACATAATAACTGTGTTTAAATTGAAACTAGACCCAATTACTATAAAACTGGGATGCACATAATTAATTACTGAAACTCCAACTGCATAAGCATTGCTGCGCCACTAATTGTACGCCTTATGGCCTGCACCTTGCACATAAAAGACGAAAATCTTGGTATTTGGTGAAACTAATTACACGTTGCATCGTAACATCCCAGAAAATTGTTGAATTGTTGAATACCTCAATTTTGTCAATTGTTCTGGCTAGATGGGTTTTCTCAGCACGGTTTTGTAGTTCAGAGATGATATTAACTTAAGTGATGTTTTTTTGTTCACGAATGGTGTTGTGTAGTCTACACTGGTGTTAGTTTATAGAGCCTATAGAGATTATGTCTATTTCTTCTTCTTCTTCAGAATTTCTTTTTCCTGTTGATTTGGAAGACAAGGAGATGTACGAAAGGATCAAGAAGTGTACAGATTATGCTATTTTTGAGTACAGTGAGATGCAGGTATGCCTGCATTTTTCTCTTCTCAAAGTTTATTTAATGCAGTGATATCATCAACTATAACCCCAGTAATGGCATTAGGAGGGGAAACCCCAGCAGCTTCAACTTATGAGGATAGTGAAGGCTGTCCAGGACACAGCAGAGCACCATACGTATCGCTTAGCATTTGAGGCAATGGATACCATATCACGTCAAACTAATACTTACTTTGCTGAAGTGACATATACCACTCAAATGAATGGTTTAATGGGGGTGCTGGACGTGTGGCCAAAGGGTCTAAAGAATCGTAAGTTAATATGTACTTCATGTACATTTATTTTGCTCAATGTTATCTAAAGGTGGCAGAGTGGCATCTCTTTATGTACATATATACTCATTTTTTCTCTTAAATATAGTCCATGTTTATTATAATTTCTGAAAATGCAGTTCAATATGCTCTGTTACCTGTTTCAGTTGCATATATTTTATTTATTTTCATATAAATAGAGCATCTCTTCAAGTCTAATGTAGAACCTTTTCAGCTACCTATATTTTCGAAGATGCTGAATGTGTAAATTTAACTGTAGTAGAGAATCATAAGTAGGGATGTGCTTTGAGTGAAATAACACTTGCCAGACAAATTTATGGTTTGATCCTGGTTTTAGAGATGCTTGGTGTGTTATAGAATCTTGAATAATTTTAATACCCTTTATGACATGCTATTAAAATATACTGAGAGAAATATGTTGATACCTTTGTCTTTGTAATGCTTTTGACTTCAGCTCAAATGTTCTGCTTGTATTGAGCCATGGTGCTAATTGAGTAATTTGTCTTTTGTTTTTGCTATGTTGAAATTATTCATTCGGGTGGAGAAGACGAATACGACACATTTGTTGAAGATGAATGGAGTTGCTTGGAAGACGGAGTTTTGGGGCGCATGTGAAGTGACTTTGCATTCTGACTTTGTAGTTTGCGTAGGTAAAGAGGCGTGGTTGGGGGCTAACCTAGCCCCGCGCCCTCCCCAGATTTTAATTTTAATTCATTATTAGGGTAAAAAAATCGTGTAAAGATTGTCTAAAGAAGTTCTTTGTGCCGTCCCACCCCAACAAATTACCTTGCCTTATGGCTTTGCCATTGCGTACGTAATTGTTTTAGTAATTACATTGTGTAATTGCATTTGACCTAATATATATCCTGTGTAGGGTACAACTTTGCACTCCCTATGTCTATTTCATTTGACTAAATATTTATTGTGTATGGTACAACTGTGCAGTCTCATCGTTACATTTGACCAAATATTTATCCTGTGTGGTACAATTATGCACACCCATTGACTTGCTATATTTAAACAAATATTAAGCATGTGTATTCTACAAATTTGCACTCTCGTAGTCTTTTTACACTTGACCAAGTTTATATCCTATCGGTTATAACTTTGTATGTTATATATGCATCAAATTCTAGCAAAAATATGTAAACAGGAAGCATGGTCCTCACAAGCATCTGCTCAAGGTGAAATCAGAAACATTTGTGAATATATGATTAATATGTAACTTGTAATCAATGCATTGTAAATGAACTTAGAACAATAGCTTTAGAGCTCAACTAGGTGAATTTTTTAAATTACTTTGTAATAATTACTAAAAAGACCCCGATTGAATTTTTAATCTTTATTAAAAAGAGATCCTATACGTCCTAATCAATGATTGAAGAAAATGAAAGTTTGAGATTATAAATTTTCATTATAAAAAATTCTCTCCAAAAATTAAGTTCATGATATTACTTTCATGATCTTCAATGCTAATGTTTAGCCGTTAAGATTTTAAAATATATATATATGTACTATTATGTAGTATTAAATAAAACTATCCAAAATAACTTGGAGAGAAATAAAGTATGATTTTTTTAACAACTAACAATCAAATTTAACAAAATATGATTTAAAAAGTCAAAACATGGAAAGAAGATGGAAGTATATATTAGGCACATTTCCACCGTTAGATGGAGGGGAAATAATAATAATAATAATAATAATAATAATAAAATAATAATAATAATAATAATAACAACAACAACAACATCATCAACAACAACAACAACACCATCGACATGCCCAGATATATACCAAGACACCAAGTATAAAGCACTACATTATATAGAGAGAATTAAGAACACGAGAGAAGAGCATAACACTCTCATTTTCTTGTTACATTTGATCAAATATTTATCCTTTGTATGTTACAATTTTGCATTCTCATTGTCTCATTTAGGGATGGACCTGGGTCGAGTCTGGGCCTGGACAATACTGGTTTTGAAAAATGGGACCCGAGTACCGGCCTAGTATGCTCTGGTACTGGTACCCGTTCTGGTCCAAACCCAAACAATACCAGCCTTGGGTCGGGCGGTCGGGCCTTGGTTGGTACCCACCCATTTAATTTTTTTTTGAAATAGTCTTTGGGCCTGAGACCGGCTGAGCCAGGCCCAAAAAATTAATTTGAACCCCCCTTATCAAATAAATGTCCTACGTGCTACAATTTTACACTCGGATTGTCTCGTTACATTTGACCAAATATTGATCATGTATATGTTACAACATTACACTTAGGTTGTTTCGTTACAATTGATCAATTATTTATCTTATGTATTGTATAACTTTGCAATCACATTGTCTCATTACATTTGATATTTCTACTTCACTATCAAGTTTTTGCTAAAATCAAGTAACATAAAACATAGGCTCAATACATGACCCGGCCCAAGTTTTTGCTAAAATCAATTAGCATAAAACACGAGCTCAAACTTGACCCGACCCGAGTTCATCCCTACATACATGGCCCGAGACATGGCCCGGGTGGCTCGATCCAGGATTGGACCGCCCCAGAACTCTTTAGGTCCGGCTCAGCTCGGTTTTCTGGGACCGGTACCAAGCACAGAGCCCGGAACGGTGGTTATAAGTTGCGGGCTTCGGGCTTTAATTTTTGGATTCGAGCCCGGGCCCAAAGGCTATTTTTTTACAAAAAATAAATAAATAAATGGGTTGAAGTCTGGCCCGGCCTAGTACTATTTGGGTCTAATTCAGGTTCGGTACCGGTACAAATCGGGTCTAATTTCACGTAAAATAAAGTGGAGAAATGAAGTGAAAAATGAGAACAATTAAATACGAATATATACTTTTATTTTTTTGTATGTACGAATGTAATATTAACAATTTGGAAAATGGAATTTTTTAGCTTGAATTCGAGCTCAAACCTATAAAAGTTAATTAACAAAACACAACCCAAGCTCGAATCGAGCTCGAGTTGAGCTCGAACAAAGCTCGGCTCGAGTTCGAGTCTGAATTTTTTAGATTGTCCAAGCTCGGATCAAGCTCGGACTCGTGAATTCTTATCAAACTCAAGCTCAAGCTCAAGCATGTTCGAACTCAACTCGGCTCATTTGCACCCCTAGAAGACCCCATTGAGGGAGCCATACAGGAGGTAGACCAAAACCACACCTAGGGATGGATTCGGGCCGGGTCGGGTCCGGGCCTAGGCCCGGTCGGGCCGCCGGTTCAAGAAAAGTGGGCCCAGGACCGGCCCGAGGGTTGGACGGGTCCGGTTCGGGCCGGGCCACCCGCCCGGGTCACGGGTCGGGTCCGATTCGGGTCGGGCCGGTTAATTTTTTTTTATAATTTATATTTTATAGTTTATAGTTTTATACGAGTATTAAAAACAAACTTCAATTGCATTTATTTGAAATGAAATAGGAACTACATTTGAAAATTAAAACAAACTTTAAAGGATAAACATTTTGAAAATTGTAATCAATCGGAACTTCCCGCACCTCCCGATCCTTTGGCTTTGTCACATGACTTCATATAGCCGTTTGGGTTGTCCCCAGTCCCACCCCCAACGGATAGTAGCCCAACCAACCAATTTTTTTTTTTTTATTTAAAAAGAGGCCAACAATGGTGAAAACTAGAGATATCCTCAATCTGCCCAAAAAGAAGAACGAAGATATGTATATATATGAACTTACGATTCTTTTGACCTTTCCACCACAGGACTGGCACCCCAATTAAATCATTTTCCACACGAGAGGCATAAGTCGCCACAGCAAAGTAAGTATTAGTCTGGTGTGTCATGACATCCATCGCCTCAAATACTATGTGATAGACACGGTGGTCTGTTGTGTTCTGGACAGCATTCACAATCTTCTTAAGTTGAAGCTGCAGCAGCTGGGATTTCAATATATCGTCCTGAACATGATTGGAGTTTTAGCTAAAAAAGGGCATGTTAAAACAATAAACGTCTTTGAGAAGAGAAAAACAGACACACCTGCATCTCACTGTTCTCGTAAAGAGCATAATCAATACACTTCTTAATCCGCTTGTAATCCTCTTCATCTTCTAAATCAACAGGAAAAAGAATATCTGAAAAAACCAGTATAAGCTCTATTAGTTAATACCAGTGTACAACTACATACAACAACAATCGCGAACAGATAACATCATTTAAGTCAATAACATCTCCAACTACAAGGTTAACAGCCCAGCACTATACTATTTTTGGTGGTTGTGGATGTTTTAATTGCATTACGTATAAAATTTACGAGGTTAACAGCCCAGCATTATAATAAAGAGTATTAACTACCTATAAATAGTGCATATCTATATAATAATATATAATGAGTGTGTATACCGTGCAACCGGTATACGGTGAGCACCGTATACCGGTACGGATTTATATTTTTTTTCCTTTTGTTTTTAAAAAATGGTAATAACTTTTTTATTTTTGATCCGATTTTTATAAAATTTATATCAACATTTTTTATTTTTCATGATCTTTCAAATGAGACCAATATTGCGTATGTAATTTTAACATATTAACATTTGCGTGTAAAATATGTAACTTTACGTGTTAAAATATGTAACGCACATTCAGTCAGGCTAAATGCAACTCGTGTGTATAAATATGTATCTCTACGTGTAACAATATGTAACTTTACGTAAAAAAATATGTAACTCGCGTTCAGACAGGTCAAATGCAACTCGTGTGTATAAATATATAACTCGCGTGTATAAATATGTAACTTTACGTGTAAAAATATGTAACTTTACGTGTAAATATATGTAAGTCGCGTTCAGGCATGTCAAATGCAACTCGTGTTTATATATATGTAACTCGCTTTTAAAAAAATGTAACTTGCTTATAAAAAGATGTAACTTGCTTATAAAAAGATGTAACTTGCTTATAAAAAGATGTAACTCGCTCATAAAAAGATGTAACTCAATGTATTATCAAATTTAACTGAGGCCACTGATCCACTCCCAAACAGATTCGATCTTCTATTTTACAAACCTATCATCTCCCAAACAAATTCGATTTTCCTTATAATCCAATACTCATTAATATAATAGTTCGATAATTTCTTAAAATTACATAAGCAATATTGGTCTCATTTGAAAGATCATGAAAAATAAAAAATGTTGATATAAATTTTATAAAAATCGAATCAAAAATAAAAAAAATTATTATCATTTTTTAACAACAAAAGCAAAAAAAAGGGGGGGCAAGCTGCGTCGTTTTGCAATCGGGCGCACCATCCTCATGGTGCGGCCGGTTGCACGGTATAATTTGCCATATATAATACACACACACATGTAGAAATATATGTTCATCTATTAACATCATAACTGTGTACTCCCTGAATAGTTGGGCCTAATTGACACTCCTTGACCGAGCTAACAGTCTAACTTCTCAGAATTCAAAATATACCATACCTTTCTTTTCACCTTTCCTCCTGATGAATGCCATTTGCTTGTACTCCCTATCATGACCACAAAGTATTTGAGTTTGATAGGTAGCACACTGGTTAGTACTTTTATCCACAGCCGCAAATGTTATGAAACAAGTGTATTACTGCTTACACCACAATGGTTAGACATAAAAAAAAATCGGTTTACATATCATATGCATCCATATACAAGAACCCATCAATCAATTGTATTACTGCTTACACCACTTTCATCGATCTGGCGTTCATACTTCAGATATTCCTCGATGAGGGTTTTGTCGTTGATGTGCTCCAAACCTTCGTCGTCGTCGCTCGGAATTTCGCTTAGTGGCGAACTTGGGCTGCTTTCCTCTGCATCAAGTTTTGCCTTTTTCAGCGGTGATTCGAGGATCGGAAAAGTCCCCGACAGCATCGCCATAAAAAAACAGGGCCGACTGGCAAAGCAAGTGGTTTCCTTCGTAGACAACAGCAATTAGAACTTAGCAAATCGATCAGATGTTGAGGATTTCGCTCCAGTTAGAAGTCTCTTGCATGGGCTTCAATCAAGATGATCCAAAGTACTTCGTATATAGGGAAATTTTCACAAGCTAAAAAGTGAAAATAATATTTTCACAAGTATTTATAAAAAGTGAAAATAATATATAGGGAAATTTTATCAAAAGTATTACTCGTATAATATTGTAAAAAGTATGTGAATATTACCCGAAATAGGACTACAATAGTTTGAAAATTCAAAAATATAATTGTCATGTTTTTATTCTCAAAATAGGAATAATTACTGTCATATTTTGGCAGTATCAGACCTTAAATACGGCAGTATTTTCTAAACATGACTATAATTAATCTTATTTAAGGATTTTCAAACTATTTTAATCTTATTTCGAGAACTTTTATAAAAATTGAAAAAAATATCACTTTTATCGCCCTTAAATATTTTACAAATATAGCCTACGAACTGTTTTTCTTTCAAAGGTAGATTCAAAAGAAGACTATCCGCATAAAGCAAGTTTAATACACGGAAGTGACGTGAATGGTTACTGATACCGCTACCTATTTTCTCCAAACTTAAACAAAAGGTACAACTCAATATTTTTTAAATTTTTAAATAGGAAAAAGTAAAAATTCAAAAACATGATGAAGCCTAGAAAATAATAAATTCTAAAACATGAAATTGAGTTTAAAAAAACAAAAAAAAAATCGAACTGAACATAAAAATAAATAGGAAAACATAAAATTTGGAAACATGAAAATGAAATATTAAAAGTAAATGAAAATGAATAATTGTAAACAAAATCAGAAAAATAAAAAATATTGTGTACGTAAAAAACATAAAAATAAAAAACTTGAAAACAAACATATAGAAAATATTAAAATAGCTAAAAATGTGGAAAAATTACAAAATTGTACAATTATAATTTTGTAATATAAATTTTTGAAAAAGTTAATTTATTTTATATAAAATATAAAAAATAGAAAACTTAATTAAAAAAGGATTTACAAAATTGTCATAAAAAATTGAAAAACTTATATGAAGTAATTTTTAACGAAATATTTAAAATAAGACATAAATGTTTTGAAACTATTAAATATTATTAAAAATGTGAAAAGAAATTATTTTTAAAAATGTTTAAATTTTTTAAATAAGAGAAAAGGGTCAAATAAGGCCTTCTACTATTATGAAATAGTCACATAAGACCATGTACTCAATAAAGTGTCATATAAGTACCTCTACTTGTAAAAAAGCAATCAAATGAATCCTAATGACCTATTTAACACATCTTAATCCCAGTTTCAACGTACTTTTGACCATCTTTTTAGAATACATTATACGGCATATGTCGAATATATAACTAAGATTGATTGAAATACAAGTCAAAAAAATCGACATGTAAATTAAAATCGAGATTAGGAGGTGTTAAATAAGCCATTATGACTCATTTGATTGCTTTATATAAGTAGAGGTACTTATATGACACTTTATTGAGTACATGACCTTATGTGACTATTTCATAGTAATAGAAGACCTTATTTGACCCTTTTCTCTTTAAATAATTAAATAAATATGAAAACATTCAAAAAGTTAAATTGAACTTTAAATAAAACAAAACTTGAAAAAATTATTACATATAATTATAAATAATCGTAAAATTAATGTAACTTATAACAATGTAAAATTAAAATAAAAATTATAATAGAATATTTTTTTAAAAATAAAACTTTTAGATATAAAATATTAAAGTAAAAAATCGAAAACTATTTTTTTTTAAACATCACCTTTCAGGTATTAATTGCTTTTTTGTTTTTGCAATGATAAGATGAATGGAGCTCCTTTTGAGGAAGATGAATGGAGCTGCTTGGAAGATGTATTTTGGGACGGCTATGAAGAGGCAATTTATATCCTAGGATCCGCGCACTATGAGGATGGTGCGTCCAAACCCAAAACGACACAGCTTCTATTATTTTTTATTTCTTTTATTGTTAAAAATTGTAATAACTTTTTTATTTGATATTCGATTTTTATAAATTTTATATCAATTTTTTTTAGTTTTCATGATCTATCAAATGAGACCAATATTGCTTATGTAATTTTAACAAATTATTTTGAAGTTACATTTGATAATATATCATGAAGTTACATCTTCTTCTGCGCGAGTTACATCTTATTGTACGCGAGTTACATCTTAATATACGCAAGTTACATCTTAATGTACGTGAGTTACACCATAAAATAAACCCCTGCTACATCTTTCATTTTTATCATTTGAAAAATAGTGTATGAATATGAAATACAATATACTTATTTTATGTGGATTAATAAAATTTTGTATTAAATTGGCAAAGAAAAAAATTAATTCAGTTATAATTGAATTAGTTCAAGATAAAGATAAGTAAAAAATCACAAATAATTAGATATAACTCACACATAATTACATGTAACTAGCGCATAAAAGTATGTAACTCGTGTATAACAAGATGTAACTCACACATAACAAGATGTAACTCACACATAATTACATATAACTCGCGCATAAAAGTATGTAACTCGTGTATAGCAAGATGTAACTCACACATAACAAGATGTAACTCACACATAATAACTTGTAACTGGAGTATAAGATGATGTAACTTCGTATATTATCAAATGTAACTCCAAGCTAGAAGCAAAATAAACAAACTCAATATCTTAAAAACCTCTAAAAACATATAAAAGTGATTAAAAAATATATTATAGAAAAAGTGTATGCATATAAAAATATATTACAAAAAATGTATGAATGTAAAAAATTAAAATTACATAGGCAATATTGGTCTCATTTGAAAGATCATGAAGAATAAAAAATTTTGATATAAATTTTATAAAAATCGGATCAAAAATAAAAAAATTATTAACAATTTTAAGAAAAGGAGAAATAAAAAATAACAAAGGGTGCATGGTGCTCACCATGCACCGGTTCCACGGTATAAGCAATGCTATGAAGAGCACTTCGAATTTGTATTTGTGCTGGGAGCAAACATTATCGGTGTATGGACTGCTCTACTTATATTTGGTATAAAATTTTGAGAAATGCTAAAGGTACCCCCATTTTGGGTACCCCATTTTTACCCCCCTAATGTGTGGCCAAAAATGGGGCAACACATTTAAGTGGGGCAACACTTTTATGTGTGGTCTCATTTGGACCACACAATGTGTGCGGTAAAAATGGGGTACGCAGAAATGGGGTACCTATAGCATTACTCGACTAAATTGAAACTTTGGTGACACTTTGTGTGAGATACGCCCAGATTCAATAGTCGACTAATCTACGAATATTTGAAAGAATTTAACCAGAAGAGGAATAATTCAACATTAATAACATACTGTATATTGATAATGATGAAACATTGAAGAACAGTACACTGCTATAGAGAGAGAATTATTCTAACTAGTCTAGGTGCTCTACGAGAATAATATGCGGAAACAGAATGTGTAGAGATTTCGAGCAGTTTCGACCATCTCAGCCTGTATTTATAGGTAGATGTTCGAACTTGCCCTATTACAATTAGGATAACAACTTAGGCATGTGGGCTTATTAGAGCACAATTAAATGTGTCTAATTCTCTCTCAACTAATCTAATTAATTACACATATTCATTAATTAAATTACAATTAATTTGAACACAATAAAATAATATTATAAGATTCTCCCATTTGTGTTCAAATGGCAATGCAACGCTATTTATCTCTGAGTCTTGTACAGTGATTTCCGATAGCCAAGTATGATTTCATAATGTCTGAGTCCTTCTGAAGTCAAGTCTAACTAACACCTACGGCTTCAGCAAAATCACCAATGAGAGCGATCTGGATTGGGTCTTCTGGATTCTCTCAATTCTTTGATTGCAGTGCAGCTTCTTCCAGATGTTCTTCTATAATTCGGAGTGTACCATCCCAATACTTATGAATTTCGTCCAAGAGCAGGATTCGCTTGATGCTTTTATAATCTTTGTAAAATGATTCATGTCTCATGTAGTGATGGTACCGGGTCCTACTTCTAAATTCTCAATCCAGGGAGCTCTATTTCTCGGAGCAGTGAGGTTTACTTTGGGAAAGTTGTTTTCTATGGTCATTTGCGGATCAAATAAAGAATAGTACTTCACTTGTCTCATCATAAATCTCTTGATTGCATTCAAGCCTAGATCTCTCTCTTTTTGCGGAGGATCCTTCATTCTGATATTTCTGTACTCAAAGAATAGTTGAATCAAGTCTTTGACAACAACATGGTACAGATCGGCTTCAAAGACTCTTTGAATGTTTCTTCTCTCGAATTCAAACATAGGACATCTCACGGAACCACAATTATGGATCTCTACCGACTTAATCTCGATGATTGGTGAATCAAAATGCTTTAATAATCTCTCATGATGTCCATATGGGTCATTCTGATCAGCAGACATGTTCCTGAGCATCCATATGTGTCCGCAGGCTGTAGTACCTTCTAGATGTTCCAGTCCCCTAAGTTCAAGCTCATCGACCTTCTTTATGTTCTTCTCATTTCTCCAATTTCTCGATCTCGGATCTTCTTGATAAGGCACAATTATCTTGACGTTCTCCTAAGGTGTTTGAACTTTGTCTTCAATCTTTGATTCCTTTGGGCGTCTTTTGATCAGATCTTTGACTATTTGTAGGTCGGGGAGTGGATCGCCATAAAATTCTCCTTGAGCATATTCTTGAGGTTCCAGTCCCATTAGCTCTTCAGCAGCTTTCTTCTCCACTTCTCGGATGTAGTTGAGCTTGATGAGAGCTTCCTCGTTGCTAATCCCTTGAAGATTGTCTTTTTCATTTAGTTCTACCCATTCAAGCAAAAGCAGATCAACAACAGATGGTGCTTTGATTTCCTCAGAGGATGATTGCTTTGCCTTTCTCTTTGAAGCTTTCTTTTTGGACAATGATGTAGGGACATGACGAGCACTTTGTCACGGTGCATCAAAATAAATTCAATACTAGCACTTATACGTAGTATAGCGTAGTAGAGTTTGTATCCACAGGGAAAGGAATGATTCTCTTTTTATG